GGAAAGTGCGCTAATGTGAGGTAGGACACTGTTTTTTAAAAAAAAAAAAAAGGTGTTTCTAAAACCGATGTGCCTAGTTTTTTTTTTTTTTTTTAATTTTTTTTAATTTATTTGACAGATCACAAGTAGGCAGAGAGGCAGGCAGAGAGAGAGAGGAGGAAGCAGACTCCCTGCAGAGCAGAGAGCCCGATGCGGGACTCGATCCCAGGACCCCGAGATCATGACCTGAGCCGAAGGCAGAGGCTCAACCCACTGAGCCACCCAGGTGCCCCCGATGTGCCTAGTTTTAACCTTGAAAAAGATGCCCTCTTGCCAGTGCATTATTCTCAAAGTATAAAATGAATTTTATAGTGTTGCCCTAACTCTTCCAGTTCTCAGGTGACCTTTGGGATCAGAATTGCTCTATTTAAAGACATGTCCCAGGGAACAGTGAATACTAGAATGTAAACTTCTATTTAAAAAGTAGCAGCTCACATTGGGGCAGCAACAAGGCCATCGGGGTACAATTTTAAATAGAAATTAACTCCAATGCAAAAAGAAAAACAGAAATTTACTCCAGTGCCAAAAATTCTGCTGGAGATGGAACTAACTTCTCAAAACACATTATGATTTTTAAGTGAGCCATTTATGGGGCCAAGATATTGCCTTAAACTCCAGAGTGCCACAGTGGTGGGCTGTAGCTCTAAGAGGTCGGCATGACACTTGATGTTAGGTGGTTCAGAAAACTGTTATCTTCATGACTGTAACTTGAGAATTGGTCAAGGCTCTAATCTCACCCCCTCAAACCTTGTTTGTAAGTATGGTTTATGTTTTGGGTTTTTTTTTTTTTCCTGCATGAATAAGGAACATCCCAAGACAACCGACATCATAACTGCTGGCAAAAATAAATGGACTCCATTTAAATCTTGGCCTCGGAAAGACTGTATCAGGAAAGACTGTATCACTACGTGCTGAAACCTTAGAAAGCTTAACCACTAAACTTATCTTGAACATGTGACAGATGGGACTTTGCACTTAGTAGAAAATGTTAACTTTAACCTTTATGTTCTCTGGAGAGCAAACCAGATTGCTTTACAGTCTAATGAAAGAGGTATTAGTGGCAGTAAAAATCAATTATTACTCATGTAATAAATAATTATGAGCACCTACTGTGTGCCAGGCACTGTTCTAGGCACAGGGTATACAAGAGTAAAGAGACAAAATCCCTGCCCTCATGGAGTTTAGATAAAATGTGTAACATGTCATGTGACGTTAAGTGCTGTGGAGAAAAACAGGGAAGGAGGATGCTTAATTTTAAATAGGCTGGTCAGAGGCAGCCTCATAAGGCTGACAACTGAGCAAAGGGTTGAAGACAGTGATAGAGCCTTGGCCAGGGCTGAGCAACCAGCCAGAACATACACTGAGAGCATAAGCCCTGAAACAGGTTTTTCTGGTACATTCTAGAATCATCAGGAAGATCGGTGAGGCTAGAGTGGAATGAGGGGTGGAGAGAATAGTAGAAAATGAAGAAAATGGTCAAGAGCCACTTATTTAGGACTTTGCAAGCCATGTTAAGAACTTTGAGTTTTATTTACAGTAGGGAAGCTATAGGAGGGGTTTTGAGAGAAACAACATTTTAAAAGAATCTCTTGCCACTTGTTTGATAGACTTAGAGGGGACTTGAGCAGATTTTGGTGCGGAAAGAAATGAGGAGCTTGGTTTTGGACAGGTTAAATCTCAGATGCCTGGTAAGACATCTTAGTAAATGCCAAACAGGCAGTTGGATATCCAAGTCTGGAGCTCAGGAGATCTGCAAGGTAGTAATATAAATTTGGGCACTTGAAGCCATAAACCAGGATAGGATGACCAAGGGGATTAAGTATAGAGATGAGAACTGGGGGATGTCAACATTCAGAAACTGGGCAGAGCCCCAGGGAGGAGCCAGCAAAGGAGACAGGAAAAGTTGAAGAGGAAGAAGGCAAACCAGGGAAGAGTCTAGAACTGGAGTAAAATCAGGTAGCTGCTAGCCACATGTGGCTGTTTGTACTAATTAAAATTTAAAATTCAGTTCCTCAGTCACATTAGCCACATCTCAAGGGCTCATTCCATGCAGCTAGTAGCTACTGATTTGGACAGTACAGATATAAAACAGTTCCATCACCACTAAAGCTCTATTGGACAGCAGTGATCCAGAAACCAACTGAAGAAAGTATCTCAAGGACAAGGGGTGAGTCTTGACCATTGGGTTATGTGTAAGTGACCAGTGACCTCTTGACAATAGGGAAGTTTTGGTAGAGTGGGAGGCAAAACCCTGATATAATAATCTGGTTCAGAATAATCTGGAAGGGAGGAACTGGAGCCAGAAAATACACCTTGTTCCTGAACTTGGCCTCTGGCAGGCAGCCGCCTACAGTCTATGTATGATCATGCCCACACTTGACACTGCCCCTGGAGTGGAGGGCCTGATAGGCCCCTCGTGGGGCTCCCAGTGCTGCTTGCCCAGATCATCTCAAGCTGCCACAGGAACAGCTCAGTTGGTTAAGCGTCTGACTCTTGATTTCAGCTCAAGTCATGATCTCAGGCGAGATCAGGCCCATTGGGCTCAGTGTGGAGTTTGCTCGAGATTCTCTCTCCCTCTCCATTGCCCCCACTTTTAAAAAATAAAATAAAAAAACTGGTGGCATCTTTAAAATTAGAAAAGTAACATAGTGACTAAAGCTCCAAGAATTAGATGTTTCTCCAATTTAATTATCTATTCTCTATCCTGGCACATTCAAAAACAATAATAAAATATCTGGCATATTTCCATGAAAAACACACAACAGGTTTTACTTCATTTCAGATGTGGTTGCAAATAAGGTGACTTATTAAGCAACTAGGGGGAAAAATTAAGCAACTAGGGGATATTAACTGTTTTTCTTATTGCTGGAAGCAGATATTATTCAATTATAAATTCTAGGATGCTTGTCCTTTCCCTAAAATCCCTGAAGCACTTCCTATATTTCCATTTATCTAATCCTGTACTCACTGCTTACTGTACTGTGATGTAAATATGAAATCAATAACTTGATATAATACACAGGTTTCCTCTCCATCAGCTTAACCTCCCCCTCAACCTAACCGCTGGATTAATTTCACCTTTCCCTCTACAAAGAATGCTTGGAACTATTATAATTTTTTTTTAAGATTTTATTTATTTATTTGACACAGAGGGAGAGTGAGCACAAGCAGGGGTAGTGGCAGGCAGAGGGAGAGGGAGAAGCAGGCTCCCCGCCAAGCGGGGAGCCCAATGTGTGACTCAATCCCAGTACCCTGGGATCATGGCCTGAGCTGAAGGCAGGCGCTTAACTGGCTGAGCCACCCACCCGCCCTGCTTTGAACTATCAAATAGCCACAGACAAAATAGGAATAATTCACAACTTGGGTAATTAATTCCTAAATAATCAAAAACATTAATCCTGCAATCTGAAACTTAGTAATTACATTTGGAAGTACTGAATTACTCCCACTCTATTTTAATACTTCTACTACCAAGGCAATCTGCTCTTGAAAGATAGAGATGGACCGAGAACTTTCTAAATCCCCAAATACTAAAAATTTGAAATATAAAAGATAAAGTCGGGGCACCTGTGTGGCTCAGTGGTTTAAAGCCTCTGCCTTCGGCTCAGATCATGATCCCAGGGTCCTAGAATTGAGCCCCGCATCAGGATCTCTGCTCAGCAGGGAGCCTGCTTCCCCGCTGCCACACCCCCCCCACCGCCGCCTGCCTCTCTGCCTACTTGTGATCTCTCTCAAATAAATAAATAAAATCTTTACTAACTAAATAAATAAATAATAAAAGATAAAGTCTACTTTAATGAAAAAGATTACTACTTTATAAGACAAGTGATAGACTCACAAACCTTGCATTATATCAACCATTTACAAAATTTAAAAAATTGAAATTGTCTTAAATCAATCATTTTCAAACTACCACTGCCTCCTGACTAATCAAATCAAATCAGAAACCGCTCAGTGATTTTCCTCAAATTATCCTTTCTTCTGCAAAGCAGTATAACGAGGTGATAGGGCCGGGGGATCTGAAGCTAGACATCCTGAGTTCAAATCCTGGCTTTTCCACGTCCTTGCTGTGTGACCACGGGCAAGTTACTAATTCCTGTGCTTCCTCTTCTGCAAAATGGCACTAGTACCAGCACGTACCTGCCTCACAGGCCTGTTGTGAAGAAAGATGGAAATCACTCAGAAAACAATGACGGCAGCATGCATACTACTAGTTAAGTACTCAAAAGATGCCAAGAGATTTGGTTATCTGACCCTCACAGAAACGGGTATTTCAAGCTGCTAACTACTGTGGACAGTCCACGCATTGTATCAAAAACTGTAGCGTTTCAGTCACCAGACCTCTGGAAGAAGTAAAGGGAAAGTGAGATCGGTTACCTGGAGAAGGTTACCTGGAGATTACCCGCTGCTTTTGAGTTACAAAGGTACCTGCTCTTTCAAGTAAAGGAACGTTCAGCCTTCCATTCTAGTCAAGTCAGACTTGAACGCCGAGGTTGTTAGAACACTTTTAGGTTTTCAGTAGCTCATACGAGAAAAAACTTTCAATGCCATTTCCATCCTTTGGCATGGCCCCGCAGACAGCACCATGAAACACATGTCATTTGTGAAAAGCCCTGCAGGTCGGTGGTTAGGACAAAGGCATCAGATGCCTGTCATACCTCTCACTCTGCTGCTTCCCAGGTGTGTGACCTGAACAAGCAAGTTACTGTACTTCGCTACCTCAGTGGCTTTATCTGTAAAATCTGGATAACTGTTTTCTTAGGGTTGTTGAGAGGATTAAATGAGTTAATTCATGTCAACCTCTTAGAACAGAGCCCAAAAGAATAAGCACCAAAAAAGATTATGATTATTAAAATCTATCAGTGTAAAACACTGCCTTGGTATTAATGACACAACTATATAAAAATACATCTTGATCCCGCCCAGAAAAAAAAAAGGAAAAAAAATCCTAAAATCTGATATTTCCATGTTTTAGTTATTTGTATTGGTACCAGACATGAGGTAGTAAGTACAAATGCAAAGGAAGAAGCACACAGATCACATCTTCATGCAAATCACCTGTTGCCTGAAGACCTGAAGACTGGACCTTAGGCCAGAAAAGAAAATCAGAAGGATGACAACTAGTGGTATTTTAGAAGGGTGTCACACACATCTGACAGGGACCAGACTAAATATTTCCACTGAACACCTTGTTTCCATCATCTATGTGTTAAGATTTCTCAATTTTCAAACATTTAGTTTCTTCCCAAGTAATCTTTTAAAAACTAGTAGCATTAATAACGCTGATAATGCTGACAGCATTACCAAAAGGAAGCACAAATTTTGCTTATCAAGACAGCCATCACCTCAGTAACTTTATACCAATTTCTCACAAACTGAGAGCAAGCAAGCAGAAACAGTTGGCTTAGTTACAACACGCTGAACTGGTGTTTTAGTTTGAAGAATTCTAAAGCAAGCCAAGTTAATTGTATAAAATTTAAACTTTATGACCATGTTTGGACCTTTTTACATTAAGCACAATGGAAATGTTCATACTCATTTTTTTCCCCAAAGGAAAAATTTATGAATCATCACTATGTTGCACAGTAGAATAAAAATAGGAGTTCAGGTACTTATTCAAGTTTCTAGAGAATGCAAATAACAGACACGATTTTACTTCCAAAATCTGAAGTCATCAACATGATTTTGTAGTACTGTATCTCAGGCTTCAACTTAAAAATTCATTATTATTCAGATAAAGATAGCCCCCTAGTCACACTTTTTAGAAAGCCTCTGCCCCACCACAACTTCCTGAGATCTGTGAAGAAACTGCCGTCTTGTGACCAGGCTCCAGACGGTAGTGGCAGTTTTGTAACGGTATGGAAAAAATGGTGACCGATTCTACGTATCAATCAGTTGTAGTCTGCTGATCTGATTAGAAGCCTTGACAAATGCCTGGTGGCGATTGCAAATGACTGCCAAGCATATGGGGATAATGCAGTAGCCCACCGTTTTGGGGTCAGCTCTTGTACAAGAATAAAGGAACAAAAACATCTGTAAATAAGGTATCAGAAAAATAACTGTCCAAAACCAAAAAGGCAGGGAGAGTAACCGAGCTTTCAAGGAGTGTGTCCATGTGGTTCCTTCAAGGGGCTCTTCTGGGTGCTGCTGAGTGTGTTCCAAAGCCAGCCTGTTGTAAGTCTCACTGATTTCAAAAACATAGTAAAACGCTCCTGCACTTGCTAACAAATACAATCCCACTCCAATCCATCCCATCCTCTGACGGAAGTTCATCATTCTCCATGCTCTGTGCCTTCAAATTAAAAAAAAAAAAAAAGAAAGAAAGAAAGAAAAGAAAAAGGAAAAAAAAAGTTAGGGTCTAGTAATGCTGTCCTAGCAACGACTCCCCAATAGTGCATTTAACGTTTGAAATTACTAAATTCACATTTACTAAGAAATGTAAACAATGCACAGCTTGTTGCTTTACGTAATAGTTAAGAGAAAGTAAAGTTTCAGCATATATTGAGAGTACTTTTTATGTAAGCCCCACAGAATAAATAAATCTCTGTATCCGGCTTAAATAGGTCCAGCACACCTTCCCTTGAGAAACTGGAATTAAACTGGTTTCCTAAGGAACACTTCACCTTTATGGTCCAAATAGTTTCTGCCTTAACAGCACTGTTGTGGACGTGAACACTCGATTCTACAAGTCAAACCGATGTCGGAGCCCCCACGTTAAGACAGTAACTCTTAAACACTTACAGTGGTCCCGAAAATCTTCCTGTTCCCACGGCAAGCGTTAAAGAGTCACTCAGTTCTGAATATTCGGGTGGTTTTGGCATTTCAGAGAAAGCCACCATAAGAGAAATCCCCGGGGTCACCGGCTGGGAGAAATGGGAGCGCCGCCAGCCTGGAGCACAAGCTAATTGTGATTAAGCACAGCGTGACTGCGGCCAGTCACGCGGCGGCCCGGCCCCTGTCGCTGCGGCCGGAGCCCCAGCCGGTGTCACCCGCGCCGGGCCGAGAGGCTCCCCAGCACCCCCACCCCGGGCCTCCCCGGCAGCCGGCCCCGCCCCCCGCCGCGCTGCAGCGCCGGGCGACCCCGACCAGGGCTGCGCGGGCGGCGCCGGGCCCGGGCCTCTCCGCCTCGCGGCGCCGGGAGCCCAGTGCGGGGCAGGGGCCACTGGCCGAGCCTGCTGAGACGGGCAGCTCCCGGATCTCACCTTCCTGTCCCGTTTGGCCCGCCCGCCCGCCGTCCCGGATGCAGCCACAGTCGGGACTTCCGGCTTGGGCCGGAAGCGCGCACCCTCCGCCCCGTCGCGACGCAGGACCGCCTCCCAGCGCGCGTCCGGGCTCAGCTCTAGTGGGGACGGGTACGGGGACGGGGACGGGGACGGGGGCGGGGGCGGGGGTGGGGGTGGGGGCTGCGGCCGCTCGGGTCCCGGCGCTTCCCTTCACGTGGGCGGCGGTCCGGGCATCTTCGGGGCCGCTCAGCACGGCCACCGGTGCCTCGCGGCGGCGACGGCGCGGGCCTCCATCCCCCGGTGGCGCCGAGTGCTGGAGAGGCCGGCCTCTCGCGGCGCCGGCGACGGTCCGGGGCGCGGACACTGGAGAGCGGCGAGGGGCGCGCGAGGCCGCGGAGAGGGTGAGACGCGGCTTGTCGCAGTGGGGCGGGCTGGGAGGTCGCCCGCCGGTGCGGGTCCGGCGTCACTGACCCTGCCGCTAACGCAGCTGCTTTGTGCTCGCAGGCCTCGGGTCGGGACGTTGCCGGCACTCAGCGAGGGTGCCGCGGAGAAACGCCGTGCCTCGCGGCGGCGTCACTACCCCGGCCGGATTCGAATGTCAATCCGTTGTTCGGGGCACCATGACGCTGAGGCTCTTGGAAGACTGGTGCCGGGGGATGGATGTGGACCCTCGGAGGGCGGTGTTGGTTGCCGGCATCCCCCCGACCTGCACGGTGGCGGAGATCGAGGAGGCTCTGCGGGCCGGTTTGGCGCCCTTGGGCGAGTGCAGGCTGCTCGGGAGAATGTTCCGGCGGGATGAGAACAAGAATGTGGCCTTGGTGGGACTGACTGAGGAGACGACTCATGCTGTGGTCCCTAAGGAGATACCTGGAAAGGGGGGTGTCTGGAGAGTGATCTTTAAGCCCCCAGGCCTGGATAATGAATTGTTAAGCAGATTAAATGAATTCTTAGAGGGAGAGGGCACAAGGCTGGGGGAGCTGACCAGAGCTCGAGGGTATGGAAACGACCCTTTTGACCTAGGCCAGAACATGATCCCAGAGGTGCAGGCCCCTGTGTTGGCCCGGGCCTTAGAGGAAGCCCTTCAGCCTGTTCTGCAGTACCTGAGATACAAAAAACTGAGGGTGTTCTCGGGCAGTAACCCTCCAGAGCCAGGAGAAGAAGAATTCGAATCCTGGCTGTTTCATACTACTGAGATGATGAAGACATGGCGGGTGTCGGATTTGGAGAAAAGGCGGCGATTGCTAGAGAGCCTTAGAGGCCCAGCATTGGATGTTATTCGTGTCCTCAAGACAGACAATCCCTTCATTACAGTCGCTGAATGCCTGCAGGCTCTTGAGCAGGTATTTGGGGTGATTGATAATCCTAGGGAATTGCAGATCAAGTATCTGACCACTTACCAGAAGGATGAAGAGAAATTGTCTGCTTACGTGCTAAGGTTGGAGCCTTTATTACAGAAACTGGTGGAGAGAGGAGTAATTGAGAAGGATGTTGTGAATCAGGCCCGCCTAGACCAAATCTTAGCTGGAGCCCTCTGCAGAACGCTTCGCAGGAAGCTGGCCCTGCCGCAGGACGGCCCAGCCCCTGGCTTACTGCAGCTGCTGGAGCTGATAAAGGAGGAAGAGGCAGCTGAGGAGGAGGAGGCCCTTCTCCAAGAAGGGCATTTGTCCTGAGTCTTAGGCAACCAGGAAGAGAGAGCTGGCAGCAAGCAGAGCATGAAGGTAGAGCAGCGCGTGTACTCATGATAGACGTTGCTCAGTCCCTTCCTGGCGCGGCCGAGGAGCTCATTCTGTACAGTTCTTTGTCTAAATCCTTTGCCATTTCTGGGCCTGTTTCGTGTCTCCCAAAGGTGTCCTAGACTAGGAAGAATGTAGTTCTGCACTAGTATTTATGAATATAGATTTACTCCTGTGAATTTATCATACAAAATTGTACAGAGGGTCTGTCGCTATGTATGCATGTGCTCTGAGAGACGTTAGCTCATGTAGTGTGCAAGGGTAGCGTGTCGGGTGTGATGATGTATCCGAGGTCGTTTTTAGGTGTGCGTTGCCCTATGTTTATTATGAAGATACGAGCAGTGGCTGAGATACTAAGTTATTTTCCGTCTGAATCACAATTCTGTTGATTCTGTACAGTCCAAATCAGGCAGGATCAAATGCTGAGGTTGATAAGTTTGCAGCTGTCACCTCTAACCCTGGATTTCTGATACATGTCATAAGAACATCTGGTTCTGAATGTCATTTTAATAGGTGTTATAAAATGATGTATGTGAACTTATAAAATAAAGGAATGCTGATACAATGACCTTTTTAAAATCTGTTTTATTTATATCAAGATTCCAAGAGAGATTTCATTTGAACAAAGAGTTCCAAAAGCATAAATCTGAAAAACACTGAGGTTACACAATCTTAGTCCCTTGGCTATTTTCCTCTTAGTGCCCAGTGGGTAGAGTAGTTTTTTTTCTTTTTCTTTTTCTTTTTCTTTTTCACTATCTTTTCTTTTTTCCTTCCTTCCTTCCTTCCTTCCTGATTTATTTATTTTTGAGAGAGAGCAAGAGTGAGCAGGGGAGAGGGAGAGAAGAGAATCTCAAGCAGTCAGCTCACTGAGCACAGAGCCCAATGTGGGGCTCAGTCCCACAACCCCGAGATCATGACCTGAGCTGAAACCAAGAGTCAAATGCTCAACTGACTGAGCCATCCAGGTGTCCCTGGGGAGTAGTTTTCTCAGTGAGGTTGCTGGAGGGACCTTCGACTGATGTACGAGGGAATGAAACAAGATTGAACACAAATTAGGGCAGAGTATTCCAAATGGATCAGCGTGTCGAATTTGGAGAGTAATAGACTGGATAAATTAAAGTTTCCCCATGTACTTGTTGAATCCTCTTAAAAATCCTGCAATATAGGAAAATCCAGTTTCTCACTTGTGGAAATGGGCACAGAGAAGTTAAAAAATACTTGCTCAAGGGGGTGCCTGGGTGACTCGGTCAGTTAAGCATCTGCCTATGGCTCACATCATGTTCCCAGCACCCTGGGATCAAGTCCCACATTGGGCTCCTTGCTCTGCAGGGAGCCTGCTTCTCCCTCTGCCCGAAGCTCCCCTTGCTTGTGCGCGCTCTCTCTGACAAATAAATAATAACTTAAAAAGAAAATACTTGCCCAAGGCAAAACAACTAGTAAGTGGCGGGTCCAAAATTCTGTCCTCTGCCCTACTGCAAGGCCTATATGCTTTCCATTGTCAAGAAAGAGAAGCAGTCATAAGAGTATGAGGACCCCACAGCCTTACAAGGGAAACATGGCAGGTGTTAACCACATTTCATATATGTCTCATATGCATTAGTGTAGAGTGTGTTATTCTGAATCATTACTGCCAGCTAGACATGAGAAGTGGGGAGTATGAGAACCTGTAAGACCTAGGGGCAGCCAGGAGGGCGGGCATGGGTTAGTGACTTGGTCCCTAAAAAAATATCAGTATGAAGAAAGTTTGGAAATTGCTGAAAAGTAGAAAAAAGTCTTCCTCTTTGATAAAAACACCCCAAAGGACTAAATTTACAACTGTAGACTGTACAGTTAAATTCAGGTTAAAATGCCTGCATGGAGGTCTATCCAGAGTTCATAATAACAGCTGACATCCAACACTTGCCGTGGGTACCGCTGAACACATTTAGCCAAACAATACTGAGAGCTAAGGTAACTTGCCCAGGTTTTCCCAGCTAAGAAGTGGCAGGGTCAGGATTTATACTCAGGCCATGTATTTCCAGAGTCCTTGTCTATGCTGCCAGGTTAAATTCTCACAGAAACCCGTAAGACATACTATCATTTCCCTGTTTTACAGATGAGAAGCTTCAGGCTCAGAGAGATTCAGTGCCCGGGTCAAGGGCACATAGTAGGACTCCAGAGACCTCTCCTTGAGGTGTTCTGACACCATCTGGTCAACACTACAGAATTGTCCAAGATGGCAGTTACGTTTATGAAATCATGTGCAGTAGTATGTTCTTTAATAGCCCACGTTTCCGGGAGGGAGACAAACCATAAGAGACTCTTAATCTCCCAAAACAAACTGAGGGTTGCCAGGGGAAGGAGGGTAGGGAGAGGGTTGTTGGGTTATGGACATTGGGGAGGGTATGTGCTATGGTGAGTGCTGTGAAGTGTGTAAACCTGGCGATTCACAGACCTGTACCCCTGGGGCTAATAATGCATTATATGTTTATTTAAAAATTTAAAAAATTATTAAAAAAAAAAAAAGCTCACGTTTCGAAAATGTGAACAACAAAACACGAAAATACTAACTGGTTGTGTCGGGATGATGGGATTGTAAAGATAGTTTCGTTTTCTTTTGCTTCCTAAAAGTGTGTTCTTTTCTTTTTTTTCTTTTCTTTTTAAGATTTATTTATATATTTATTTGACAGACCACAAGTAGGCAGAGAGGCAGGCAGAGAGAGGAAGGGAAGCAGGCTCCCTGCCAAGCAGAGAGCCCAACATGGGGCTTGATCCCAGGACTCTGGGACCACGATCCGAGCCGACAGCAGAGGCTTCAACCCACTGAGCCACCCAGGCGCCCCTGTTCTTTTCTTTTTAAGTAAGCCCTAAGCCCAACATAAGGCTCGAACTCATGACCCCAGGATCAAGAGTCGCCTGCCCTGCTGACTGAGCCAGCCAGATACCCCTAAAAGTGTTTTTTAAATGAAAAATACACAAAGGAAGTGCTCAAAAAATGAAAGGAGGTGAAATGTCAAAGGGAAAACAGGAACCAGCCTGAAAGAGCTCCCGCTGGTAAAAGCTGCAATTTGAGGAGAACAAATAGCATAGCGTTGGGTTATAACCCAAAGTATAAAATAAATATCCACAAGTTCATGCTGATATAAACACATGAGTGAATAAATAAATGTGGGAGAGGAGTCAGGTTTTCCTTATGCAAGAATTTCAAATTATTTATGCGGATGCTTCCCCCTCAAGAAGTAGAGCTTATTCCCTTCTGCTTAAGTGCGGGCTGAATTTAGGAATGGAGTAATGAAAGGGAGAAAGAGTAACTTTTCAGTGGAGAAACCTGGCAAGTACTAGTTTGGCTAGTTAACATCAAGGTTAACATCAAAGAATGCATAGCCCGGTCTAATGAGAGAAACACAAGGCCGCCTGCGTGGCTTGGTCAGTTAAGCATCTGCCTTCGGCTCCGGTCATGATCTCAGGATTCTGCGATGGAGCCCTGTGTCAGGTTCCCTACTCAGCGAGAAGCCTGCCTCTCCCTCTCCCTCTCCCTCTTCTGCTCTCCCTGCTTGTGCTCTCACTCTGTCAAATAAATAATCTTAAAAACACACACACACACACACACACACACACCATATAAATGCAAATTGAAAGACATTCTACAAAATAGCTGACCAACACCCCTCAAAGCTGTCATGATCATGAAAAATAAGGAAACACCGAGAAACTATAGCAGACCAGAGGAGACTAAGGAATCCTGGTAGCTAAATGGAAGGTGGTAGTGGGGGAGGGCTTCTGGAATAGATAATGGACTTTAGTGGAAAAGTAAAATCCGAAAATAGTCTGGAGTTTTAGTTAATAGTAATATAGCAATGTTGGTTCCTTGAAGGTAACAAATGTACCATGGTAACGTTAAGATGTTAATGATAAGGGGAAACTAGGTGACTACTAGAGTGGGAACTCTGTACTATCCTTCTAACTTTACGGCAAGTCTATACTATTCTAAGATAAAGTGTTCATCGAGGGGCACCTGGCTGGCTCAGTTGGAAGACTGTGACTCTCTAGCTTGTGAGTTCGAGCCCCGTGTTGGGTGTAGAGATTACTTAAATAAACTTAAAAATAAGTAAGTAAGTAAATAAATAAAATAATTAATAATAAAATGTTAATTGAAATACCTACACAGATGCTTACATATATACATGCACAAGCAAATAACAAATGACCTGTCATGCCATCCAGTGAAAGAAGTCATTAGGGAGTGAATAACTAACTGGAAGGCTCACGGTTCCTAAAAATGTTTCTTCATCTAAGTGCCACCAGGTGGCAGTAAGCACTCAGACTATCGGCAGACAGGCCCGAACAGAAAGGGATTATTTCTTACATAAGTGGTCACACGTGCCCCCCTCAAAGACTGGAGAATTTCTCAAGCGTTTATGTGGAAAAATATTTAAGTACCCAATCCGGGAAGTGACTTCCTCTCTAGTCCATGACATTTCTAGAATCTTCTAATTAGCCTGAGAGGTCTGGCCTAGGCAAACGGACCGATGTGTCTATGTAACCAAAAACATCCTTAACGATTCCATTTCACTTCCGCCAGAACATTTCATAAAATTGGAAACCAGATGACTTTAGAATTCAACTTCTGAAAGCGTTTTTTTTTTAGGCAGAATGACATGTGGGTCGAAAGTACTCTAGCTTCAGAGGGTTTCCTTACACTCTCCTGCCTCTGCTATGAGCAAGCCTAACTCTGCTCTTAGAGATGTTAATTTTCTTAGGTATAAGCTGGATTCAGTGCAAATAATTCAGTGTAGAGTAGGGCTGTAAGGTTCTCAGTCATCATCCTGAGAGATGGGTTAGGAGTCAGAAAGCTGGGGTCTGAAATGGTAGAATAAGGCAGATGAGGCAGGCAAGGCTCAGAAATGAGTGACTTGCTCAAGACCACACAGCTAGGGGAAGCTGGGTGGCTCAGTGGGTTAACTTTGGCTCAGGTCATGATCTCAGGGTCCTGGGATTCATTTCCATGTCCAGGAAGTCTACTTCTCTCTCTCTCCCTCTCACTCTACCTCTCTCCCCACTTATGTTCTCCACCCCCCACAAATAAATAAATAAATGCATTTAAAATAAACACACACACACACAGAGCTAACTTGAATCCAAACCTGAGGTTGCTTCTGGCTTCGCTATGATTTGCAAGTAAAGGCATTATATTCCTCTTGGATTTCAGTTTACTTACCTACAAAATCTATGGTCCTCTTTAGCTCTAAAACTGTGACTCGAAAGGTCTTCTAGTTATCTGTGTTTGAATATCCTTAATTTAAAAACTGACTTAAATTCTTTTTTTTTTAAGATTTTATTTATTTATTTGACAGACAGAGATCACAAGTAGGCAGAGCAACAGGCAGAGAGAGAGGGGGAAGCAGGCTCCCCGCTGAGCAGAGAGCCCGATGTGGGGCTCGATCCCAGGACCCCGGGACCATGACCCGAGCCGAAGGCAGAGGCTTAACCCACTGAGCCACCCAGGCGCCCCAAAAACTGACTTAAATTCTTAACATGCCTTAATATATGTCACTTAACCTGTGTTCCCAAATATTATCAGAATATCTT